AACCTAGATGATTCTATGATTCTATGATTCTATGAAATACTCCCTGGATCTTCTATACAATACTGCTGGTAATGCACCTGGGAATGAGACTTGCTTTATCTTTGTAATTGTGTTGCTGTGGCAAAACGGTGTACATTCCAAATTAGTGACTGCTGTGTTCCTTTCCAGACAGTTAATGCCTGGTTTGTACTTGAACATTTGATTTTCTTGCCCTTGTCATTACTCAGATTCACATTGTTGATTGCAAACATGTGTCCAATTTATTAAGATCATTTTTCAATCCTGTCTCCCACAGTTTTTGCACTCCTTTCCCATTCCTTCTGACCTGTTAAAGGGATGTACTTACCTATGTCCATCTTCTCCATGAATTATATTGACTGTTTCTGCTCCCAGTCTTGCCCAGAGCAGATTAAATATGGCTTTATTCCAGAGAAATTCAATTTTTTTAGTATTTTTTGGGTTAATTTCAACATCAAGGTATTTTGTATAAACTTGGTCTTGAGAGAGGACTCCACTGCAAATAGAATGAGACAGCAATGCTAAGCTTAACAGTTCAGAGATTACTGAACTAAATCACATTATTAACAAGATTTGGGTTTTCCCCTTTCTTAGAGCAGAAATTTGCACTTTTGCTGTTCTTTGCAACAGCACAGGACACTGACCAGGACTCTGGGGTGTTATGCTCTGAACTGGGAGAGGAAGAAAAACAGTACTGAAAACTTTAAGTGTGCATACGGTGGGAGACCACCGGGAGATGACAAGGGTGAGGCTGGGGGTGTCTCCAGCGCCCAAGTGTGCTGAGTTTTGCAGGTATCGCTGCAGGGAGAGCTCCAGGTGAGGTTTTCGGGGAGGATTTTATAGGTGAGCTAGGAACTTCTGTGGGGCTTTGGCCTGCCCATGCACAGAGGATGGTGGGAGAACGCATGGAAGCGCTTGTTTCAGAGCAGGTACAGAAGACAGTGGGAGCTGCTATTTTGGTAGTTGGTGGGAGATAATATGAGCTGTGAATGAAGCTCACTGGCCAGACTATATAAATGTGCCATTTATATAGTAGTGATGGCTTTTAATATATCCTAGGGAAGATCCACTTTGCAAATTTGATGAATTCAGGCATAGGATTGCCTTGTATGAGATCATACAGATCTCTGCAGAGACTCTTGCCAGCATGTGGAGTGAGGATGCTGATGCGTGTTGCCACACTAGTGATTGTGCTGAAGTGCGTATGAAATAGGTGAGCACTGTATGAATAGTGTGTGTTCCAGAGGTGTACGTTCTTTTTTTTTTTTTTTTAAGAGCAACTTGGAGAAACACAGAACTCGTGAAAAGGAAGTGACTTCCATTTCCTTTTTACAACCACCCATCTGCCCTCATGGGTCTTACTTATGTGAACTTTTTTTCATATCTGATGTTAAGCAGAATGTCTGCAACACAGAGTAAGCGTTTGCACTGCTTAAATATGTTGAAAATGTGTAGATGAATGTTAGCGGCATTAAATGCTATAGGGAAATATTAATTTATCTTACCTGGCAATTTCATATTCTTTTGTGTTCCCCTCTGTGTCATGGAAAACTAGGTTTATGTCCCCCCTCATTTTCTTTACACCAGACAGTTTGATAAATACTTTTTGTCTCCAAGCTGCATAAAGAAAAGCAAAATAAAAGTAGATTGTCATTGATATGAGAGACCTAAAAATGCTAGTATACCAGAAAGTTCTTTTTTTCCTAACTGGAATTCATTTGTGTTAGCAATGAAAGGCTCAGTGAGCTTGAATTTTGGTAACTAATTTAGCATTTTTTGTCAGAGATGTTAGCAGTTGTTTATAGAAGCAACACAGGTGCACGGATGTAAGTCACATCAAGGCAATCACTTTTCAAATGTGAAAAAACTGTAACAAACCTTCTCCACTTACTAGCAAAAGGTGGGTCTGCTGCTGTATTTAAAAAATACTTCTGGTTTACTCTTTCCAGTTTAGCTGGGAATCTGTCAGCATAGTGCCCCATCATTGGACATCCATCCTGTGAACATGGGAAACAGTCTCCCTAGGGAATAAGAGCATCAGTTAATGAGGAGTGGTTTTTTACATCATGGCTCTGACAGAATTAAGGCTCAAGATGCTGTTCTGATCTTGCAAAGCTGTGGCAGTGCTGTATGTTGTCATACCTTACCACCAAAACCTAATAAACCTGTTTCAGAAAACGGCTCCTGCACCCATGCATATACCAAGAGGGTGTAGAATGAGCAGGTTTGATATCTGTGTGGATGATAGTCTGAAACTCCCTCGTTCAAATATTTTTCAGCTAGAGTCTAGGACAAAATATAAGCCAATTTTACCCTCCTAGTGGAAGCGAATTTGCCTGTATTCGCATGGCAACACCATATGGGGGGGAAAAAAAGGAGCACCATTTATAAGTGCATTTATTTCGGTGCTCTAATCAGTGCCCAGTGTAAATTAGAGAACAGTCAAGGATTCTGGAGGCTCCAAATGTCTCCTCTTCTAGCTAGGAATTAGTAGGATAGATATATCTACCCTACGTGCTTTTTGCACAAAGGTTTAGGGTAAGAATTGCATGAGGTTTAATTTTTTTCCTCACTTCTGGTGATATCACCTGTGCTTCAGGATTCATTTTCCAGAGTGGAATAGTTGATGGAGCCTCACAGCATGCTTCCTCCTACCAAACCACACCATGAGAGCACAGCCACCAGCATCCAGGTGCTCTGGGCCCATAGCAGGACCAATTGTGAGTACAGAGACCTGGATTATTTTCTTTACAGCTTACCCATTCCTGGCCTGATATACTTACTGACTCAAAGGATTTGTACGTTTCACAGTGATATCCAAGGTATCCGGTGGGATGGAGGATACTTGCAAAATAAAACTCATGGCTGCGTGAGTGATGGCACCCCCCAATCATTGTAGCGTCTGTTGGAACAAAGTTTATGAGCATCCAGGAAATAACCTCCTGTCCTCCTGTACAAGAGTTGCACTTGCCTCACCATGGACACAGCTGAGGCATGGAACAGAACAACAGCGTTGTCTTGTAGTAATTTTTCATCTGAATTTACACATCCGTAGTTGCAGTAGAAGTTACTGTTTTGTCTGTGTTTTATCCAGAGAACTGTGCGCCAGTTACCCCAAGACTTCAAGTGAGATGCATTGGTGTTCTATGGCGTAATAGCCCCTTTTAAGAAGACAGCTATATATATATATATATGAGGAGATGTCACAGCAAGATGATGTTAATTACAGTTTTAAAAGGCTTAATAGAGCAAAGAGAATCCACCAGCCTTCTGCCAACCCTCCAAAGCCTGTGAAGAGAGAGAAGTCTCGGGTGGAGAGGTGAGGCATGCGCAGTCCTTGGAAACACTGAGTGCTTTTGCCTAATTCATGCCTTCTAAGCGTTGGATGTTCTTTGCAGCATCTGCGAGAAACCAAAGGTGGTGGTGTCATGCCACAGGTTTGGTTATGACACTGGCCTGACTCAGTGTGGAAAACCTCCTGCTGGGGTTGTCGGGGTGTTGGACTTGCAGACTCCGTTCCCTGTGTTTTTGTGTTCTGCAGGTCCAATTTCAAATTAGAGAAGCAAAGCTTAGGCCTGTACTATACCTCCGTTCCCTACAGTGTTGCCTGAGGAGCACTGTTCTGATCCAGCCTTTATTGTTTCTTATTTCCTTCTCATACTTGTGAGTAAATAGGCAAAAAACAATTTTGTTTTGCTGTTTTCTCTCAAACAGATGGTTACTTTAACAGTTCACATTTCAGGATTGTATGAAAATAAAGTACTATGCGTGTTGGGAATGTATGTTTACCTGCAATGATAACTTCAAAATCGCTTTGTTTCATCTCTGGAATTAAATCAGTGCATCCAGGCATCACAGTTCCTCCGTTTGGGTAAAAATCCAGGTGTCCGGTAGTGCTATACATTCCAAACCCTGAGATACACATGTGATGATGTCAGTGTCTTGGTGACATGCCCATCCCTGCAGATATTTACTTGCATGTGAACACTTACCTATGGCAGGAAAGTGAGCAGCGTTAGTGTGAATAACATCAACAAAGTTTGCATCTGAAGGATCCAGTCTCACCTCAGGAGGAGTACCTTCAAAATAGGGCCCAGCAGGGTCTAAGCCTAAAAAACCCCACATTTAGTGGTTGAGGGAGGGAGGGAGAGAAGTGTTGCACTTGTTAATATGTCTTTTGCAGCTTACAGCATCAGATATTCAGTATTGCACTAGACATGCTGAACAATAATGATGTGAATTCTAAGCTAAACTGAAAAAAAATATGTACAATAATATGGTTTTGTGAACCTTTCTGCCAACTTTTTCCAACAAAAGTAAAATATTTTCCAGTGGGCTATATAATGGCATCATATTACTATGAAGGAGGCATTTTATTACCTGTGAGCTTATTACTGGCCTGTAAAGCTTTACGAGTAGGAAAACCCAAGGATTCTTGGTATGTTACTTTGTCTCTGTGTAGGGCTTGATGTAATCCAGTGAATGACAGTGACATTACAGACATATTAACTGTCTGTGTCCTTCTACTAAAGAGTTTTTAAGCTAACTAGAGAAAGAAGATGTAATAATTACCCTTGTTTCTGAGAAGTGTAAAGTTTGCCTGCTCTTATGCAAGGTGTCTCCAGCACTGCCAATAATTTAATTCCAGTCTATAGACCAGTGTGTTGCAAATTTCTTTCCTTTAGAAATGTGCTGTTAGCTCTACATCTCGGTGAAGAGCCTACCTGTCATCCGTCTGATGCCTTGGATCCTTCTTCCCGCCTCTCCTGCAGCATGTGCTCCCAGACTGTGGCCAATTAAATGGATCTTGCAAAGGCAGTATCTGAAGATTTTCTGATCATTAAGGTGGTGGTGGGAGACAAAAACACAGGCTTTAACTAGCAAGCAAAGAGGGTGTCGTACATTATGGGCCTTTGGGAACATTTAGACTCACTTCCTGCATAGCAAATAGGGTGTGAGTTCCTTGAGTTAATTACTGTTTAAATTACACTAAGACTTGATAGAAAATGATCTAATCTAGAATTTTAAATGCATAGTGATGATGGATTCACTGTTGTAGTGTTGGCATACGGTTATCATGTTCAATTATCCTCGGTGACAAGATATGAACCTTCTTTCTTATTTGGATCAACCCCTAATTTAATCTTCCATCAAAATGATCTTATTTTTTTCTTTATTTACTCTATTATGGAGCCCTTTTTTAATCACATGTCTGTTCTCCATCTGTCTCCTTAGAATATGTGGTCATATCACTCAATAGTATTTTCACTGACAAGTTTAGGTGGGGCAACATTCATTCTCCTTTTTGCTTAGTATCACCTGTACAAAACCTGCACTGCTGAGATATTACACATGCATTCCAGGTGGAAATGGAGAATAATCAGTGTGTAGTCTGCACGCAGGGGACACGTTTCATCCAGGGATTTGCTGGATTTCATAACGACCAAAGACAACAAGGATTGGTTGCTAACTGCTTGAGGTTTTCACACTAAGTTTGGTTTTGTTTTGTAACGCATGTGCCAAAATAAAAGCAGATCTGTAGCATTGGCCTGTCTATTGTCAGAGAAGCAGATTCCTCTGAATATGTTTTACTGCAGTACTTCCATTTACAATGCAGCTTAACTCTTCCTAAAGCCAAACTCCAGAGGTTTGTAAATTGGGGAAAAGTAAAAGTCTAAGGATCACTTACACTTTGTAATGGAAGAGAAGCCTAGACTGCAAACGGTGCAGTAATAGAGATATTAAATGAGAAACTGAACCCATCTTTGAGTGACCTGGGATTTGTACACAAAGACGACAGATACAGAAGCAAATGCGTGAGGCTAGAGATGAGTTTCCTAGGTAGAAACAGTAGCTTGTACCCATCAGATTCTGAGGAAGTGTTCTTTGATACTCAGGTGCTCACAAAGTTGGCATTTTGCCTTGTGGGATCTGAACTCTTTCTTGCAGCACTTTAAAATGAATGCCTCCTGACCCGGATCAAGTGCATAGCCAGGCAGGATTCTGATTTTCAGCAGTTCTAAGTAGTCGTGAATCTTTCTGAAGTCAGTGGGAAATGCTGATACTCTTAAACTTTGCAACTGAGCAGCTCTGTGCTGTATGTGTGAATGTGAACACTTGCCTTCAGGAACATGAAGTTCACAACTAGACGGCAACTGGACAGTTTATTGTGCCTGTAGACAGCAAATATGGCATTACCAAGTGAGCCGGCTCCTGCTTGTTTCAGTGGTGCTAAGCTGAGATACTAATTTACTTCTAGCACATGTCTGTAATGCTGGCAAAACTGGTAAGCACTGAGCTCCTAGGCCTTGCCTCATTTCCGTTGAGTGCCTTCTTGCCTGTCATCATGTGGAAATGTTGCCACCTACTGGTCTTTAATTAATTGGCACTTCTTTTCAACGACATGAGCTTAATTTGTGTCTTCTGTGGTTGTGAGAAGTCCTTACAGAGTTGATAATAAGTATAATTCGTTGGTTCTTAACTGAGCATTGTACAGCTCTTCCTGAAGCACTGGCTGACCATGCTGGACAAGGTTCAACGTCAAAGCAGCAGCATCACAACCCCACTAGATCCACTTAAGAATTGTAGGTGGTAAAGCTGTGTGTTTTACCTGTAAAGTTTTTATGAAATAAGCAACCTCAGCGCCGATCACGCGGATGTTGTTCACTGCACTGATGTAGGTGCCTTTTGCACCTGCTTTCCAATCAACAGCAATGCAGTTGATATTTTCTACTTCCAGTAACAGCTGATGTGGGAATATATAAAGCAAAGTATTTAAGGAAACAAAATAACAGAGATTCAACATAAATCAGAATAAACATTAAAAAATAATATAATAATGGAATTGCTCGTTCTTTACTAAACAGGACTCTTCACTGTGATTTTTCCACTGGAAGAATCATATATCAAAGTCTGCAGCTATAGCTTCCTGTGACTAAGGCTTAGTTAAGATTTGAGAAAGAACAAGGAGTGGAAACAAAAACTAATCTGTGGTAAACAGCTGAAGGTAAATGACAAGGAAAACAGAAGCTTGAAGTGACAGTGCATAGAAACCTGGATTCCCTCCTCTCCTGTAGGTATCATAAACACAGTTTGTAGTGTGGAGAGGCAGACAGAATTGCTGTTCCTTTTCAACTGAAAAAATTGGAAACGTAATATTCTAGATTAAAAGTTTTCATAGATTTACAAACAAAAAATAATGATGCAGATCTGTGACTTAGTATTCAGTGGTCATCTTTTTCTAGCTTGTCGTTTTCCCTGCCAGAGTGGAAGAAGCAGAAGCAGAGTAGATTTTGCTTATCTATCAGAGCCAAGGCTGTCATTGACACAGTACACTCTGCTGGCCAGAGTGCACCCGCTCTGTTTTGTGGTAGCTTCCACATTTTATATTTGAAATCTTTTTTTCATTGCATTCTGTAATAAAAAAAAGGGGTTGCTTTTCTTGGCTTGTTTTTCTTGTGGTCCCCCCAAGAACTGAATGGTGGTGAACCAGGACAGTGTTTGTAGATTGAAACTTGAGCTTTACAACTCAGGAAGGCCTTTTGGCTGAAGGATGGTTCAGTTGCCCCTAATGGGAGCAGCAGTGAATTGGCATGTCTAATGTGATATTCTGACACTGGTCTAGAGGCTGGGAACATCCGTGTTCAGTTTATTGCTTTGATCTGATCTGTAGGGTTTGGGGATGGAAACTCTCTAGAGAAGCATAACGTCAGAGATGACCAAGAAGCCTTGACTATGCTTGTGGGAACATTTTGGCTTTTGTGAAATTTACTTCTTGGTTGGTATCTGCTACTACCTAATGAATTGCAAAACGGAAGGTGAACATTAGTGCCTAAAAGATACTGACAGATTGTAGTTACAACTGCTGATGGAAATCAGAGGATACTCTCTCATACCAAGCACATTTCCACCACCCAGCCTTTTTTTCCAGTGCTGCCAAATCCATGAATGATGAAGGAGGTTTTCCTATGTGACGAAAAATGTGAGTTTTGGATGGTTGAGGAGTTTATTGCTGAGATCACCTGTGTGGGGAAAAAGAAAAAAAAAAAGTTTTATCTATTCATACTTTCAAACATTTAAAAAAAAGTCAGCTAGGTCATCCCCTCTGTAGGACTCAAGGGACTGCTATGAATGGGCAGAGTTTGTGATTTTTGGAACCCAGGGACCCCTGTATCTCGCCTTTCTCAGTTCCACTTTGGTTTCCAAAGATGATGTGCCCATGTGGTTTCTGCTGCTCCTATCTATTTTGCTTAAGGCAGGAAGAATCCCCTTATGTGGAATATGAAGCCACCTAAAAGGGCCACAGTGTTGCACAATGCCTGTTGGCCTGACTCGGACGAGTCCTCCAGGGAGCAGCCCACCAGCTCCACATCTCCTGGTTCAGCTTGCCCTTTTACTGACCTCACCTTTAGCTTCAATGTGCTGCTCTGCATCTAAGCAACACCTTTTTTTTTTTTTTTTTTTTTCTCCTTTCTTTCTTTCTGGATAGGTGATGTTTCTATGCCTGTTTTTGTCATTAGTTACTTCAGAAAGGCTGAAAGAATTTCATGCAAGAACTGCATGCAGTAAGGGTGAAGCTGATCTTCACACATTGTTGTAAGCTGCTTAATTATGTTTTCCTTTTACTCTGAGAATGATCTCTGACAGTCTGTATTGTTTTCAGACACGTACAGGGTCTGTGATGTGAGCTCAGGAAGTTTGGGTGTGGAAGGGCTGTGCCCTAGATCATAGATACATTTAAATTTAGTGGCTGGGAAGTAGTGCAAGGAGTATTTTGACTTATTTTATCAACAGCAGAAGTGTTGAGTAACCTGCTGCTGAATGTATCTTGTGTGCTCACATGTCCCTGTTCTGCAGATCATAAAAGTTTATTACAGTTGTAACTTCTCATCCTTAGAAAGCCTGAGTTGGATTCTCAGTATGGCAACCAGAATTGCTGTAAGCAATGATGTCTGCAACAGCAGTGATGACATCATAGTTCACATACAACAGGCGGTCTGCTATAACCCATATCCTTGTGGAGGAAAATGCTAGGAAAGCTATTGTGTCCTACAGTTCATTCACCATGGGGTAGGTGGGGTGTTTTGGGTTTTTTGGGGTTTTTGGAGGTTTTTTTGTGCTTTACCCCAAATAGCTTCAATGTACATTCATTACTGTACCTTCAAACTATCTTCTTATTCTGACTTGTTTGCCTATGGTAAGTGATGCAGACTTTTTAACAAGTTAACAAACATTTATAGATTTAGTCCATTCTTGATGTTAAAAATAAATGTAACCTGTGAGTTATTTCCTGTTTCTCTGGTGTAGAGAGAGAAGCTGATGTTCATATGTTCTGGAGAGTCAGGCAAACCTGTCAGAAGTCTCCCTGGTACCCCGGACCAGGGTGGGTCGTCTGTGAAACAGCCAAGCCTGGGGTAGCAAACCTCTTTACCTAGAGTAGAAGAAACAACTTGTTTATATTTTGGACTCTCTAATGCTTGTTGATGGATTTGAGGCTACAACAGTCTGAAGAACAGAAAACTAAGGATTTCATTTTATCATTAATTTTGAAACTGAGATTCGTTCTTGTTTGCTTTATGGATATTGCCTGAAACAGGTAACACAAGGGGAGCTAAATAATTTGAGGACAAACCAAACAAAGATCCAGACACTGTTCTGGCTTGTAAAGGATTAATCAAATTTCTTTTAAAAAAAGTCTTTCAAGAAGTGCTTGTTAGAATTGCTTCTGCATGCTTCCTACTCCAAAGCATTGTGTCTCTGCTTGTAGAAATGAAGGATATTGACACAGTAACCTTGTACTATGAATGAAACGATCATTTCTTTCAATATAGTAGTTTATCTAGATCAAACAGGTCTCTTGCTCACTTATGCTCAACTTTTATGTTTTAGGACTGTCTGTTGTGCTAAGCACTCTTGCTGATCTGTTCTTTGTATACAGCAGTCACGTAAAGACAGCTTGCGTGCTGTCTTGATAGAAGTAGGATACGTGACTGAATTCCTCTGTGAATTTTCAGCACAGTTACGTCTCGTGTTCTTAACAAAATTTAAACAGAGCAGAGCCTTTTCACATTAGTTCTATGCACAGTAATAGACATTGTCATACAATGACACACAAATCATACTACAGCTTCAGTGTAAGGGAGAATACCAGTCATCAACTCCTATATATTATTTCATCCAAATTCACCTTCTAGTGGTAGTTTTTATAGATATAGTGTCTCACCTGCTACTGTGCCAAGGAGATAAAATGCAATAATCCACATTCCAACCACCTAAAGCAATTGAATATACAGGTTAAGCATTTTATTTAGAGTGATTTGTCCTTTTTAAAAGAGTGTAATACAAAGAGAAGTGCAAAGACCTGCACCTGATGAGGAATAACCTCATAGACCGGTCGGTACACACTGGGGACCCACCAGCTGGAAAGCAGCTTTGCAGAAAGACCTGGAGGTTCTGATGGACCCAAACTTGACCACAAAGCAGCAATATGCCCTTGCAGCAAAGGCAGCCAGTGGCATCCCATGCTGCATTGGGGGTGTTGTCAGCAGGATGAGGGAGGTGATCCTTCCCCTCCACTCGGTTTTGCTGTTCTTTACACTTCTTGCACAGTGTTGCATGCAGGTTGCTGAGGGAGTGAATCAGATCATGAGCTCCTGACTTTTGCCAGCCATGAGGAGATAGGTGGGAGATGTGGTAGAAGACAGTGATACCTGGAACTTGGTGAAGTCTGCATGCTTGACAGCTTTTTTAGGCTGTTTGTGCTGCTCTTAACCAGGGCTCCTTGCATTTCTGCACCTTTGTATCCCCTGCTTTTATTCAGATTCCTTTCCTCTGCACTTCCCTCACTTGGCTTTCCTATGGCAGGGATTCCAGGTATTTCACCATTCTCCTCCCCTCCCGTTTGCCTCATTCACTGTTCTCAACTTCCTCTTCTTCTAGATGTTTCCTATGGCACCTGCCTCCCATGTTTGCTTTTCTTGTAAAGCAAAAATTTTGAACTCTGACCCCTGGCCACTGAGATCTTTAGTAGTAATTAAGAAAAAATGGTAAATTTAGTAGGTATAAGTCTTGCTATGTGGGAAATTGTGTCCAAGGGATATTTTTAGAGATTTGGCAATGTGAAAAATCTTCAAAACCAGTGCTTCAAAGATCATTGATGCTACCAAACGCTCTCATAAACAAAAAAGAAACAATTGGGAATTTCACAGAATTTGTCCTTGAAGTTGTGTGTTCGATGTCAGACAGGAGGCATATGTGATCTACCCATGTGCTTTTTTGGTGGAAGTTGGATTACTTGGCTGTAATGACATGGTTTCCTAACCAAGCCAAATGGGATAGGTCAGAGTGCAGAGAGTGTGTCTCTGAGCACTCTCTAATCAACTCTGAAGTCCCTGTGTGGTAATAGCTTGTTGTTTATGTGGTAGGGCAGAGGAGCAAAGCTGAATATCTAAGCAGTGAGCCAGAGCTGCAAAGTGCAGAGCTGAGAGGAATCATGAAATTTCCTTGGAAATACAATTCCTTTCCCAACTCTAATATATCCATTGATGTAGTTAACAGAGAAGAAAACTAGCTGCTCAAGGAGAGTGGAAAGCAGAGAGGAAGTCTGGCAGTGAGTAAGAGTAGGAGGGAAAATGATCAGGAGTTATTCTAAGCAGCTGGTGACAGGCAAGTACAGAGGGGTCCTAACTGTCAGCCAAAAGGAGCACCTCCATTCAGCTGGAATATCTGTCAAGAAGTACCCATCATCATGATGAGAACCTGATGACAATGCAGGAAAATCACAGAAGATGTGGCTTATCAGATGAATTGGAGAGCTCAGTGGGATTTGTTTATATTTAATGGAGGGCTCTCATACTCCGGAGATGTATAGTCCATGTCGGGAACACTACAGCAGGAAGGATGGTGTCATTTCTTTTCAGACCCAAAGTCTGAAAGGCAGCTAATGAGTAATGATTAGCTCAGTTGGTTAGAACACGGCACTAATAATGCCAAGTTCACAGGTTCAATCCCTGCTTACTGCAGGGGGGTTGGGCTCGATGATCTCTCAAGGTCCCTTCCAACCCAAAGCATTCTATGATTCTATGTATGATGACAACTCAAGAGTAATGAAAATGTGGGAGGTTGTTGCCAAATAAAAGTGATCAGTAGTTTCCTTTCAGAGGTTCTTCCTTTGAAGGCAGAAAATAGAAATGAACATGTAGCTAGGTAAGTAATGGAAGATGCAGAAATTTTATTTTTTTTGTGGAACGCTGATTCATTCTGTTATTAAGAGAGGTGTAATTTGGGTAGGACACAATTTTTTAGGGGGTAGGCTTTCAGTATAGGTCTATGTTAATGACAAAAAGATTGCAAAGGGAGCAAGAAATGATGTCTTTGTAAAAAGACTTGAGGCAGCATACAATTTGATGGGGGAAAATTCTTTCACTGGGCATTTAAGAGGCTTAGTGCTGAACAAGAGGAACTGGAATGACTTGTTTGTGAATGTGATCTCAGCCTAGCCAGTATTGCTGGCAGGAAGGCTGCTGAACGCTGAGCTCAATTGTTGTACTCAATGGACAGAGGACACACTTCTGAAGCAAAACCAGCACTAAGTATTTCCAAATTGCTGTTCAGCTCAGGGGGAAAAAAAAAAAAAATTGCAAATATTTGTAGACTGACATCCTAATGTATAAAACCTACACTGGAGCAGTAGCTGTCCTTCACAATAGGCCATCAAGTCACCTTCCGGACACTGTTGCTCAACCTGTGATTCACGAGCCACTAGTGGATGGTTTGAGACATGAGAAAGTCTGCATAATGACTGTCAACAGTGTATTTTTAAGTCCCACACATGTACCCACACACCTTCCTTAAGACATACGCACGAACACGCACACATGGTCTATTCATGAGAAGCAAGCCCAAATCTTAGGGGGCTTGCTTAAATTGCTTAAATTTATTTGCAAATAAATTTAATTATCAGCATTTTTAACCTAATAATATCACTGCAATATTTTTTTTTAAATTTAAAACAAGATATGTTATTTATCTAATTGCTAAGAATTATACTCACCATTCTCTTATCACCCTTCTTATGTCTTTCCCTGGTGAGCAGTAACAGGATACAAACCAGCCACTGTTTTCTTTAATGAAGATTGGGCAGCTTTACGCTGAAAAAAAAGTAATAGAAAAGAGATGAAAAACCTACAGGCACCTTGGTAAAGGCAATGCCAACATATATATTTATGGCCAGTAGAATGAAGACATGAATTAAAAAGGAATATTACATGCATGGAAGAATTAAAAAGATGCGATGTTTTTGGTCCATGACTAGATAAAATGGAGCAAAAGGCAATGATGCAGCTGAAGCGAAATGTTTACACTTTTATTTACCAAAACCAGCTGATGTTATTCACACCAGACAAAAAGTATTCATGGTGATACCCTGTTCAGACAATAATTCTAGATCTGCTGTAGAACAGCTCCTGGGGATACGTATTTTAAAATCATTGGACTTTGGTAACTCATAGCTGAAAACTGTAAAAAAATAAAAAGCTATCAAAAAAAACTATTGACAATTTTTTGTTAAGTTGTTGTTTAATAAGAAAATTCCAGAGACGTGGTTTGAAGAAAAACAATATGCTAACAAGTAAAAAAAATGGGATGAATGATTTCTCACACCTGTGGAGTTTCAGTCCAATATCAGCCTGAGGCAGAATAATGAAACGGGATACTCAGTCACGAAAGAAAAATTGTCAAAACTGTTAAAGGATTAAGTTGTGTAATTGAATTCAGTTACATGACATGACAAAGTAACACGACACTCTTATAAGATCAGCGTTCTAAGGCTCATGATACTCGGATTTTAATAAGATCTGCTCTGCTACTTGATATTTTGGTTAAGAAATTAAAATGATATATGTGCACTACTACAACAGTTAAGTAGATTAAGAATTAAACGCATGGATTAAGTAGATTAAAACTTGAGTAACTATTGCATCTCGGACTGTAACGGCAAAGAACTAGAAGGCAGCTCCTGGATTTACAAATACAGTCCTTGCTACTGTGCACCATCGCATCACATCATGATCAAGCTGTGATCATGTTTTTTTAGCTGTGTTTTTTGACCCGATAGTTAGTTACTCGCTGCTCATGACAGATCATCACTGATGAGGATTTTAGATGAATCAATCCCTGGCATTACACTGCATGCCAACTTTCAACTCTGGTATTGCCGGACATGAGCTCATACTGAAAAAATACTGACATCTAGACTAAGGGTTTAGTAAGTAAGAAGTCCAGGTCATGAATGTTGGATTATTTTTTATTGTTTGGGAAAGTAAATGCTGTCACACCGTGTATCATACAGAACAGAGGTGAGCATCTGAGGAAGCAATAACTGAAAAGACCTTTGAAGTCTTGCTATAATGTATTACTAGTGACTTTTGAAGTGCAAAGGAACTTGTTAGTCTTTGTTTCCACATACAAAGATGAGAGAATAGTATTTTCAGTATATATATTGTATTCAATATATAGGTGGAGTTATTATTTAATGAGTACAGAGGTTTCATTGCTGATGCATGCACAGTTCAAGAGGGAGATTTATAAATGGAGAAGGTCATCTTGAGAATGGAAAAGAAGGAATGCAGAGCAAGAAGTGGAGAGGACTTTTTAGCCTAGGAGTATGAAGTGTAAATGGTTGTTCCCCAAAGATATAACCTGAAACCAGAAGAGAAGAAGTGATACTTAGACAAAGCAGTAGTGGTAGAACAAGAACTAGCCATGAAAACAATGCCATCTAGTGTCTTGTCCTGAAACAGCCATCCAGCTGGAGTCAGAGGGTGAAAAACACAACTAGTGTTAAGACGGGATTTTATCACGTTTTTATGCGACAGTAAGAAGTGGCATGTGATGAGGGTTGATGACCTAGACAGTGCCTTCCACTTCTTCAACCTGTGTTTCAAAGAGGCCAAATGGGAAGTTAAAGGGTCACCTCAGTAGCCTATGCCAAGGTGGGGAACAGCCTTTGTGAAAATCATTATGTTCAAAACAAGCAGTGGTAGAGCAGCAGCAGCTCATTCTGCAGTAACAACCTGCAGTGCTAGCACATTTCCATCTGTCAACAGAGCTAAACATGGCACCTTCTGTCCTTTCAGTCTTACATGGGCTTTCCAATTTTCAGGTCTGCTTTTTCCCCTTCTGTACTTAAGTTTAAGTTCTCTACCTTCTTTCAAGTCTTTTTATTTTTCACCATTTATAGGGTTTTTTCCATCTTTTCCTGCTT